AGCTAGGATTACAGGCGTGAGCCACCAGCGCCCAGCTACTTCTGGCTTTTTCTGTGTATATGGTACTGAGGAATCCAACCCAGGGCTTCATGCATGCTAGGCAAGCACTCCACCACTAAGCCACCTTCCCAGCCGAAGGATTGGGTTTAGTTTTGTGTGTGTGTGTCCATATTTTTTTTTTGTCAGTTGTGGGCCTTGAACTCTGGGCTTGGGCACTGTCCCTGCGCTCTTCAGCTCAAGGCGAGTGCTCTACTGCGAGGCACAGTGCCACTTCTGGTTTTCTAGTGGTTTATTGGAGATAAGAGTTTCACCGACTTTCCTGCCCAGGCTGCCTTTGAACCGAGATCCTCAGATCTCAGCCTCCTGAGTAGCTAGGATTACAGGCATGAGCCACCGGCACCCGGCTTGTTGTGTCCATATTTATGAGATGGTTTTATCATGGTATTTCCATATATGCACACAAATCACCTTTGGTATTAGTGTTTTTGTTTTTACTAAATATCTAAATCTATTGACTAGCACCTATAACTAAATATTCCATAAAGCTTGCTTGCTGCTGGAGCTGATGGTGAGTGCGCTTGCTTCTCTGGCAGGTGAAGTCCAAGACAGTGGCTCAGTGTGTGGAATACTACTACACGTGGAAGAAGATAATGCGGCTAGGGCGGAAGCACAGGACACGCCTGGTGGAAGTCATCGAAGACTGCATGGTGAGTGGCGCTACTAAGTCGGTGCTGGTGCTGGCCCCACTCCCGCCCATTCTACCCCAGGCTAGCAAGGGACCGGTGTTGGCTTCCGCTTTGCTTCAGAGTCAGCACATAGCTGGACAGAGGTCCTGTGCCGCCGGCATGGCATTGTATAGGTAGAAGGAGGGCATCTCAGCATTTGATTACAGCTTGCAGGATAGTTTGTGTTTCCAGGAAGGTAGAGAAACCAGGTGGCCATTGTCCTGGCCTCCTGGAATCTTCCTTCCTTGCTCCTTCCATGTCACAGATACTACTGGCCTTATAGCCAAACATGCCTCAGGAAGATAAAGAGCCCCAGGAATGCTTAGGTATTGAGGAACTGGTGGACAGTGTGTGGATGACTCCCACGGTGAAATGGCTGCCTTCCTCACAGGCAATCTAGAATCTTATGAATATTAAGATTAAGGACAGCCAGGCGCCAGTGGCTCACGCCTGTAATTCTAGCTACTCAGGAGGCTGAGATCTGAGGATCATGGTTCAAAGCCAGCCCAGGCAGGAAAGTCC